TATATCACCAAGTGTAAATGCATAACCCGTTTGTGATAGAGTTGTATATGGATCGGATAAATAACATGCATCCGCATAACTAATTAAACTAACTTTGATTTATTTAAGTAAAATAAATACAATATCAATTTTTCCTTGCGGATAATGTAGGAAATGTTTAATTCCATTCCAATGTCTTCTTATTGGAACAAAACTTATATCTTGCTAATACATTTATAGAAAAGACTATATTAGGTCGAGTATTATTAGCGGGATATATCAATACACTAATCGCACTAAGATATGGTACTTCAAGACCAACTAATTCTTTCTTATCTTCTCAAAGTTGAAAAAGTATCTTTTTGGATATGAAGTAACCGAACTACCATTGGGTTAATCAATGGATGAGCTTTATATAGAATCATTGTAAAACTTTTTCTATATAAATTGACCGATAAATAAAAATCTTGTTTTTTAAGCGCTCGAACCGCATGTTGAGATAAAAGTTTATTTTTTCAAGGTATTTCATATCAAATTCTCCTTTTAGATAACTTATGGCATTTGAAATCTCTTTAGGAGTTCCAATAATATTTAAATCATCAACATATATGGCAATTATTACAAACTCCTTTTTGAATTTTTTTATAAAAATACATGAATAAATATTGTTATTTTTATAACCTTATTTCAATAAATATTTATTGAAGCAATTATACCACATGCATATAGGTTAGTAATAAAGAATAGATATTAAAAAATAAAAAATAAAACTAAATATAAAAAGTTTAGCATAAATTGAATTTTTAAAAACTAAAATAATAAAATAAATACTAAAATATTTCAATATAGATCTCTATAATTTAATTAAATTCATTTCTCGAGAATATGTATTTCATGCTTCGGACGTCTTAAGTCCTTCTAGGACTTTCATATAGATATCATTTTCAACTAACCAATAAGCTCGTGATTACATTCATCAAATGTATGCATATGAATTTTTTCATATATTTTGTCGAGCTAATGAGATAATAAAAATATAATTACATCCATTATATGAGAATATATCTCCTCTAGTCAATGTCAAGTCTTTGTGAAAGCCCTTGTGGTACAAGTCTTGCTTTGTCTCTTATAATCTCATCTTTCTTATTTTATTTTTATTAAAATACTCATTTGTATTGCACTAGCTTAACATCTTCAAGTGTTTAAACTTTTAGTTTAAAAACTACTCATTTGTAAAAGAACATAATTTTGCCTAGATTGTTTTTTTTTTTTTCATCTAGGCCAATCATCTCTATGTTGACATTTTTTAATAAATTTAGGCCAAGGATCCTTATTTTCATTTAAGATATCAATTGCAATATTATATATAAAAATCTTATCAATAAATGTTTCTTTTCGGTCATATTTTCTCCATATATTGACATAATTTATCAAAATATCTTGATTTTTCTCAAGCATTTGGACTACTTCTAGAAGCCTATTATCAAAAATATGATGGACCATTTTTGTAAATATTTGCATCATTTATATTTTCATCTTGATTATTTGCTCTTTTCTTTCAAGGATTTTTATCTTTAGAACCAATCGAGTTTCACACTTCGGGCATGTTTTAGATCATTTGTTATAACATTAATAGATTGTCCTTCTAGGACATCAATTCTAATAGGAGGATTCTTAGCAGAGACATGCATTTTAGCTACTCATTTAGGATCTAAGAATGCATCTAGCGATTAGTTTGTAATATTTGTAAATGAATTATCTTTTGAACTTTTAATTCACATTGTTTTGTACGAGATTCAATATGATATAAAGATAGCGTACTCCATGTAATTCTTTTTTTTTTTTCAATATTTCCAATTACTTATTTTGCTTATTCTTTCTCCCTTAAGGTTGGAAAAAATGTTTCATCAAAATGACGATCGATAAATCGAGTCGTAAAAATATCTCTTATTCATGGCTTAAGCTATTGAATTATCGAAGAGGATTCAAATCTAACATATATTCTCAATCTCCTTTAAGTCCTCACTTTAGTTCGTTATAGAGGAGCACTATGAATATATACTTGCAATGTTAAAAATTCTTAAATAAGAAATATTTGGCTCACGACCATAAACCAATTAAAAAAAGAATTTCTAATAACTTATGGGTCTAATGCGAATAAGTATTGCTATATGTAAGATTGCATGTCCCCAAATATGAACATGGAGTTTTATTTTTAAATAATGGTTTAGCTATCAATTGGAGCCTTTTGATGAATAATTTTGCTAAGCCTTTTTGAGTATGAACATGAACAACGGGATGTTCAACCTTCATTGTAATAACCAATCAATAATCATTTAATACTTAGAAGACAAATTCACTAGTATTATCAAGGTGAATTGTTTTAATGGCATAATTTAGAAATTATGTTTGTAATTGAATTATTTGGGTAAGCAATCTCGAAAACATCGGATTCAAGTAGATAATAAATATACATGTAATCATTTTGTAGATGCATCTATTAAAACAATAAATTATTTAAATGGTACACATGGTAGATGAATCAATCCATATATATCACCTTGAGTACATTTTAAAAATGCTTGGAGATTCAATCTCAATTTTACTTGTGATGGCTTAATAATCATTTTTTCTTGAAAACATATAGAATATGAAAATTCATTAAATTTGAGAATCTTCGGCTCTTCGATAGACGTTCATATGAAATTTTTTAATAATTTTTTTTTTTTTTTTTTTTTTTTTGCATCATAAAAGACCCAAGATAACACAACCTGGTCTTGCCACATAATAAAAGTATTTGAATTAATAAACTTCTAGTTTATTACAATATTTATTTCAATCATTCCAATATTTGTAATAAAGACCAAAAGAAAAGTGGATAAATTTTTCAATACATATTTTCTACCCGATATAATAATTATAATATATAAGTATTCAATATTTTTCACATTTGTTGTCTTGATATGATATCAATTTAAGTGAATATCTTTGGAACTCAACAAATTTATATGAGAAATTAGAGAAAATAGTACATCATTTATAATAATAATTTTTCTTTCAAATAATAACATATTTACCCTTCTAGAGTCTTTAAATTATGTCACTTCAAGTAATAATATATTCGCTCTTCTAAAGCCGCAAAAACTTATATTTTCGGGTAATAATGTATACGCTCTTTTGGAGTTTTCTCGTTAGATTGATACAATCGGATATAATATTAACATAAAATAAATAATTAAAAATAAATAAATATATATATTCTTCATAAACACAACTAAATAAATATATAGTAAAATAAATTTATAACTATCTCTATGCAATAGAAATTATAAGAAAATATAAAACATCTTATTTTTCCATCGGTTTGATATGTTTTCTTCCAAAAAAAACAAAAAAAAGAAGCCCTTTCATTATTATTTATTGTTAATAAAGGTAATAAACGAATTTTTTTTTAAGCAAAAAAGGTAACAAGATATTAATTTTAATTACCACCATTTTGATATATAAAATTAGGCTCTATATTTTGCTCTTTCTTTTTTAATGAGGCTTGATAAGGCTCAATAAGGTGCTTTAGTGTACGAAAGGTATGCAACCAATGTTTATTTATGCAACATCTATAACATTTATTTTCAAAATACTAACTTGATCCTTTTTATTCTTTTCTCTTTTTTTTAATAGTTTATCCACTTCGGTGGTGAGATATATTATCATGGTCATCATGATTATAATGATAATTATTTCGACTATGTCCATGGCTATGATCACGTCTTCGTTTGTGTCTAAAATTATTATAAGTTGTCATATTCACTTCAAATAATGGAGTAGATCTAGTTGGATGAGATTTATTCTTTTTTATCAATAGCTTTTCGTTTTATTTAGCCACGAACAAGTATAAAATTGATTAAAAATATTTCTTAAACTCTTTTTCTCGATATACTACCGTAGGAGCATATTCGAGACATGAAAAGTAGAAGACATTAACTCAACATCAACCACTCATTTCTTGCCAAAAATGTCAAGGGCCACAAAATCAAGTTTTGTAATGGTTGATGTCATAAAAATTTTATATTGCAAAGTATAATAATAATATTAGAAAATAAAGATAAAATATAATAAAAAAATGTAAATAAAAAAACATAATGATAAAATTGAACTTTTCAAATAATATATGTTAAATTATTAGATTCTATATATTAAATTATTTAAATTTTTTAAATATATATTCTAGGTATCATTAGATTTAAAATACATGATAAATTAGATATATACTCTTAATGATCTAAATAATTTAGATCTTTTGGTAGAGCACTTGTGTAGAAAAAACTCAATGATGGGAACAAATGATTAAGTCTTTTAATTGATATATACATCATAGTCTATTATTTCGATTAGTTAGAGCTTCAATAGTAGAATTGAAGAGAAAGATGATAAGAAAATGAATTCAAAGATAATACAAAAGATTACAACTCTAAATAATTCTCTCAATCTCTACAAAATACTTCTATACAAACTAATGAACAATCAAGCATATTTATAAGCTTCAAGATTAGGAAGAGAATTAGAAGGGACTATAAACTATTAAAATATGCATAAATAATTAATAAATCACATCATCCTTTCAATTTCTTATATTGAATGATGAATTGAATCATATAAGTAAGTAGAAATATAAAATAGACATTCATTATTTCATAACATGTAAGGATAAGTTTTCAACTTCTTTACCTTCATACTAAACATATCCTAAAAAAATAAAAAAATAAGCTACTAAAATACAAGCAATAAGCTCCCAATAAAATCATAACGTAACTTTAATTAGCAAATATTAATGCAACCAAACCATTACCAATTTGCTTTAAACATTTTCAACCATAACGATATCTACGTTCCTTAGATTGTAAGCCAGTTTTTGGCGATGGATGCCATGGTCTAAGCAAATATCATAGAAAGATGTGACAAATAGCACAACGTAAATATTAACTTAATTCCGATACTCATACAGGTTTCTTAAAGTAAAGTTATTACCCAGATATGACAGCCTGCTCCATCTTTTGGGCCATGAATTGGAGACAGTTGTAAACGTAAGAATTCAAATCTCCAAATGCCCACCCTTCAATTGGATCAGCAACGAATGACCACTCAATCTTGCACCCGTTTTGACCGTCTCCATTGATTGGTAAAACTTTGGTGGTGGCCACATATGACTTGAAGCCAACGTTATTTTCAGTGATCTCGTAGCTTAGACACCGCTCTGTTGGATTGATCATCAGTAGCTTCTCTTTGGCCCAGCTGATTTTATTCTCTTCATGACTGCCATTTGATGCCAGTGGTGTGCTAGAAGCACAGTACCGAACCAGACCAGGCTGACCTAGCTCCCCCTCCACTTGGTAACATGTATCCACAGTTGGGATCCACTTGTGTATATTACAGAAGTCCTCCAAGAAAGACCATATTTGGTCTGCTGATGGGCCTTTTAGCTCTGCTGTGGCCTTGCCTTCCCATTTAGGCTGTGTTTCTTCTGCCATGAGAGGAAGGAATCGTGTTAGTTTTTGAAGAGAGTGGTGCTTGGTGATTATAAACAGGGGGAGCATCTCAATTTTTATGCTAGCATTGAAAACGTTGGTCATTTTGGTAAACACAATGAAATATTGAAGTTTCTCTGATTTGTATGGCTCGAAATTTAGCATTGAATCTTATCTTTACTCTACTGTTTTGGACAAAAGGGACTGCCACTGAACACACTTACCAAAACCACAAGGTGCTAGTCGCAATATCATTGCCTAGTGGATCAATAAAATAAAATAAAATAAGGATTTTGGCAATATCCATATATATGTTTTTTCAATCCTCACTTTTATTTCCACTGATTATATCTACTACTTTGGTTGATAAAATGACTTGATATTCCGTTCAAGTAATTTTTTTCTTATTAATCAAGATAATATTGTAATGTCCCAACTAATTGTTATCGTATGTCGAACATCCTTTCACACCATTTATAATATTCAAATTAGCCATACTAGACCTTATGCTCAAACGACCCAAAAGTTTAAATTTCAGCATATTGTCAGTGTTTTATTCAGGTTCTTACATATTTAAAATCTATCTTATTACTAGTCGACATGACATGCGATTGTAGCATCACAAATTAAGAATTATATGGTTGTTTATAAGGGGAGATACCAGGGGCCTATAATATATATATATATATATATATATATATATATATATATATATATATATATATATATATATAATAAGCGATATGAATTAATAAAAAATTCAGGCAATGAGCAGGAAAAAGAGTCAAAAGGTGCATCAAATTCGAAATTATTCCAAACCTTTAACGGCATCCTCCATTCTCTTGCCCATTTGTTGGAGTCCCACTTCATACTTTCTCACCAACTCATCCAATACCAACCCTGCCACAGGATCAACACTGAATGACCATTCGATCACACACCCATCTTGACCATCACCACCCTGTGGAACAACCTTGACCGTCGAAACATATGACTTGAACCCAATATTGCCGTCAACCATCTCATAACTCAAACTACGTTCAACATGATTAACGGCTGTTAATCTCTCAGTGGACCAGCTAACAGGCTGATCAGTGTCATTAGATGGGATTGAGAAGCCAGCACAGTATCTTATGCAACCTGGCTCCCCATTAGTCCCGTTAATGCCATAGCAGGTAGCAAGGCTAGGAAACCATTTGTGGAAATTAAAGAAGTCGTTGAGTAGAGGCCATATTTGATCTGCTGTGGCTTTTGCTAGCCTTGTTGAGACCTTGCCTTCCCATTTTGGCTGTGAATTTTGCTCCATTAGAGGGATAAACAGTGATCAGTACAAAACTTTTCTTGGAGATGACTATATGGACACTGGACAGCTGGGGCATTAGTATTTCTAACGTGGCACGCACCATGTATCACATTGATGCGCCATTAAATGGAAAATAATATATTCCAATTATTAGAAAAATAAGCAGGGGAATCTTGAGTAGGCGCGTATGAAATTGGCAATTAAGCCAACTAGTTTACATATTCCAAAAATAAGCAGTACAATCTTATGTGATTTTGGCAAATAAGCTAACTAGTTTACATATTCCAATGCTCCAAACGTCAGAGACAGAGAAGAAAAAATAAGATAAATCTCCATGACATGAATTATATTCAACAAAAAATAATAATAATAATGAATAGATTCGAAAAATAAATTACTACGAAACTCGACAAAAACTACTGTTAATACCATTGTTTCTTTTGGTAAGGAATTAGTGACCATTTATTTGTTATTTGCAGCAGAACTCGAAAAAACAATCACCTTGTTACAAGCAAGGTTTCTGTTTTCAATCCGAAATGGTCATCGAACCACTCTAAAAAAAGGTTTCAGACTTCGAGATTTGACTGTGGTTAGCTTAGACTATAGTTAATTCCAAAAGTTAAATTATGTACATTTAACATTTTGTTAAATGTTACAGAAATCATAAAATGAAACCAAATATATCTTTCATCAAATAGAGATTAGAAGTGATGAATGATAGCAAAGAGCCTTATATTGTTTGGCAAATTAATGAAAGTTTGATACTAACAACAACAACAAAAAATTCACTCATTTTTCAAGACTAATCAAATTAATATTATTACTTCAACATTTTCTTAATATATATATATATATATATATATATATATATATATATATTTTTTTTTTTTTTTTTTTTTTTTTGGTTATTTTGAGATTTTGTGTAAAATAAAAATTTAAACATATTTTCATTTACCATTATGGACATAAATGGAGAGAGGAAGAAAATTGAAATATAATGAAAGTCAAAAAGGTCGATTGATTTGAATCAAATTTTTAGAGGAAAATGTGATATCCTATGCTTTTAAAAGGGCTAATTAAAATTAACCATAAATAAATTAGGTTGATATAAAAAAGTACTATCATTTAAGATTTGCATTTTATGAAAAAAAGAAGAAGGAATGTTAGTTTCTAATAAGTACCAAATATTAATTATAAATATGCACAAATTAATTGTAAGATGAATATAAACTAGCTATTCTCAAATCATTGTTGTTATGTTGAAACGTGAAGTATTTTTACTGTATATTTTGTATTACATAATCAATATATATATATATATATATATGGAGGCATTAAAAATAAGTATTCTAGCTATTAAAGGTAAATATTCTAGCACAATATTTCCTAATATGATAAAATCAATCGTCATTACTCCTCTTCAAGTTAGAGCATGTAAATTAAAAATGTCCAACTTGTCAAACAATGATATGAACCGATCCCGACCAAGGGCCTTAGTGAAGATATCCGCAATTGATACTAAGAAGAAATTGGTTGGGGCGATAAAAGTTTAGACTAGATATGTTGTCAAAAAAGTGATAGTCAATCTCAATGTGCTTAGTCTCGCTTGTGAAATATGCAATTAGCAGCTATGTGAAAGGCCGCTTAATTGTCACAAAATAAAGAGACTTGAGCAGGATGGGAAACACCTAAATTAGAAAATAAAAGATGAAGCCAAACAATCTCATTAGTAGTGGTGGCCATGGCCTTATATTTGGCTTCGGCGATGGAGTGAGTAACTACTAACTATTTCTTAGACCACCAGGAAATCAATGAGGATCCAAGAAATATTATGTAGCTAGTAGTGGAACGTTGAGTGGTTGGACAACTAGCTCGGTCGGCATCACAATAGCCTCTCATAGACAAGAAGCTATCGAAAGGGAAGAAAATGCCACTAGCTAGGAGCTCCTTTGAGATAATGAAGAATGTAGATGGTAGCATCAAGCAAGGTTGTCTCAACTAATGCATACATTGACTCAAAATGTGAATACATAGCTAGTATTCAAGTGTGTGATAGTTAGATAGAGAATATGCCCAACAAGTTGATGATATTAGCTAGGATCATAACAAAGTATGCTAATATCAAGATCAAGCTTATGATGTTGGTCCACTCGGTGAGACTAATGGTTTGCAGCTAGTGAGACCACACTCGGTTAATATATCAATGACATACCTACATTGATTTAATGCAATACTCGTCGAATATCCCACAACTTCAAGACTTAAAAAATATTTGAGTTTACTAAGGTCCTTAATATGGAATGTGGTATCCAAATACATTTGAGCCAAAAAATTTTAATGGTATCATTGTCGATAAGGATCACTTCATCAAAATAAATGAGAATAACAACAAAAGAGCCTTGTTGAAAAAAGGTGAACAAAAAGCGAACGGAGGAGGATTGGGAGAAGCCCACTACAATCGATGATCGAGTAAATTTTTTATACCAATCGCAAGAAGTTTAGCAAAGCCCATAAAGAGACTTTTAGAGTCAATAAACACGTTACGCCCCCTTTTAGCAAAATCCCGAGGGATTTTCACGTAGACTTCTTCGAAAAGATCAATATGCAAAAAGGCATTATTGACATCGAGTTGATAAAGATATCATTTTCAAACTAAGGCGATAGCAAGAAGGCAATGAATTGTGACTAATTTTGTAACCGGGATAAATGTCTCATGAAAATCAATACCTTTAATCCGATTATACCCTTTCACCACCGAGATGAGCTTTATATCGTTCTATAAAGCCATCGAGATTAAACTTTATTTTATAGACCCATTTGGAATCAATAGATCATTTTTCAAGTGGTAAGTTTACAAGTATTCATGTTTGATTGACTTCTAAAGCGAGTAATTTCTTTATCCCTAGCATCCTACCACTCGCATGTCTTACTCGCTAGAGAAAAGAAACTAGGCTCATCGATCGAAGAGATGGTCGCTAAGAAAGTATTGTGAGTGTTAAAAAATTTTGAATATGAAATATCATGAGATAAATGGTGTACTATTGAGTTCTTCGAATAAGGATTTGAATGCAAAGTGCGGGACAATAATAGGAAATGTGGCAAAGTGTAATGATAACCAAAAAGTTGCTTTGATAATTTTTAGGTTTGAGCGGGACGCCGGTCCGACCGTGAAATGTGAGATGAAAACCCACTATGGTGGAAATGAAGTTGTTGATCTATTGTGAAATACTAAAAAATAGGAGTCCTAGTTTTAGCAAAATTAGACTAGTCATGAGGCATAAGGTCGACTTCGTATGGAGTAGATAGAAATGGGCTATGTTAGGGAAGGTAGGCCATTATGGTTAGGCAATTACATAGAATCTGCGAGATCAGATTATGCGGGAGAAGAAAGTCCATTAGGAGTATCCTAAGGCATGGGTTCCGTAGTATCGAGCTAGGTTGAGGAAGGCAACCTAATGCTTATGGAAGTAGATATAGTGGGTTGTGTACGGTTGGAATGAGCCTAGGTGAGAGTGACTCCATACGATCCTGTTGAGTCAATGAACGTAGGAGTACTAGGTTGAAAAAAGAGTAGACAAATTGTAAGTCGAGTAATTGAGGTAGACTAACTGGACAAATTCATGTTCGTGACCTCTCTATGGAAATCAACAACTGGAATTGTTGTGAGAGAAAAAAGAATAATCTCTTAAAAAAAAGATATCATGAGAGGAATAAATCATTCAAATGTCCAAATTATAAATTTGATAACCTTTTTGTCCATATGGATGTCTCACAAAAATGTTTGGTTTGCTCGAAGGGCAAATTTATCACAAGGCCTATTATGAATAAGTCCGTAACACAAACATCTAAAACTCCATAGATGATTATAACAGGATTCTTTGCCAAACAAAACCTTATACTATGTTTTGTGCTATAAAGTGACAAGTGGTACTCGATTGGTTAAATAAGTGATAGTTAAAAAGCATTCACCCTAAAAATAGACAAGTAGGTTAACCTAAAAACACAAAGCTCTAACCACTTTCAAAAGATGCTTGTGTTTTTGCTCAACCACACGATTCCGTCGAGGTTTATATATGCGACTCGTATATCTATCTATGTCATGCTCAAAATAATAATTCATCAAATCCAAATGATTAAATTCAAGATGATTGTCGGTACGAAAAATCGTTACCTTCATGTTAAAATGCATTTGTACCTATTGAAAAAATAACAAGAGGTAACGCTTGGTCTCTAATTTGTGTTTCATGAGAAAAATTCATATAGCACGACTATGATCGTCAACAAGTATGGGAAAATAATGGGACCTGGAATGAGATGGAGTAAGATTTTGACCTCAAATATCACAATGTAGTAAATAAAAAATACTCTTAGATTTATTTGAGCTAATTGGAAAAGGTAGGTGAGTTTGCTTGGCCCGAAAACAAGCATAAAAAATAAATAAATAAATTTGATGAATTAATCAATACTAATAAATTTGAAGCTAGTAGAATTCTGCTTATCGTGGTACATGTCCTAGATAGTAATACCATAAATCTACTTCACTATACCTTTTTGCCATAAGTACCTTCCCTACTTTCATTAGTTCCAAATGATATAAATCATTCTACCCACTGCAATTAGCTTCCTCAAAGGTAAGTTTAGTGTTACACAAAAATCAGATCCAAAAATTAAAACACAATTGAGATCTTGAGTTAATTTACTCATAGAAAGTAAATTAAAACAAAAAATTAGTAATCCCAAAACTTTCTCCAAACATAAATTGTGATTAAGAGCTACTCGGCCCAAAATTTTAACTAGAATGAAATCTCTATTAGGAATTTGAACTAAGGGAATAACTGGATTCTGTAAACAATAGTCATAAAATCATTATTGTAAGCTATATGATACGTGGTCCTGTATTAATGATTCTTGATTTACCATAAATATTATTAAAAGTCATGTTAGTAGATGGACCAGCAGAAGATCCATGTTGAGGGCCCAAAAGGTGAAGTAGCTATTGGATT